TAACAATGTTGTCTGCGTTAGCGCATCGCGTGCTCAGAGACCATGGGCATTTATGGATAACGTTTGTATTTGTGAGTAATACTTGTGTTTCATCGGGCATTACGAAAACGTCTCCAGAGGATCACGCCGCGCTTTTAGCATTTCACCGTTTCTCTGTAATATTGTACGGGATTTGTACCCAGCGAATTTATACAATAGAATGGAATATAAACAAGGACAAGTTAAGATGGCTCCCTAGGGTTTTATTTCCGGGAGTTACGTTCTTCGTATATATGTAAACTAAAAGCTAAAACTCGTGTGACTTCAAAATACGAACTAACGTTGTGTTTTATATGGAACTCTTTTTTGAAACAAAAGTGTGACCTTTGCTTTAGTTGAAAGCCTAAAAAGCCAAAACGATACTTGGATGTGATGTTTCAAAAGAAGATAATGTAAACTTGTTTTTTTTCAAGCGGTATTCTGGAAGTTTTTTGAACCGCCGTACGCGAGGTTCGTCGCGAACATTGGGATATGATATAAAGTTTCCTCAAGAATTTGCAGTGTTTTCTCCACAATCTAGCAGCACTTATGACAATAAAGATGACTTAAATAATGAGCCCTCTACCGGTAAAATGAGCAGGGCCGAAACTCCAAACATATGAGGTGCCGTTACCGCCAAAATTCAGAGTGCTTATTTTTGAAAATGCAGACATTATTTTTGAAAATGCAGACATTATTTTTGAAAATGCAGACTTTATTTTTGAAAATGCAGACATTATTTCCGAAAATGCAGACTTTATTTTTGAAAATGCAGACTTTATTTTTGAAAATGCAGACTTTATTTTTGAAAATGCAGACTTTATTTTTGAAAATGCAGACTTTATTTTTGAAAATGCAGACTTTATTTTTGAAAATGGTGACTTTTTTATGCAGAGGTCTGGTGGCGAGTTGAGCAGGTAACCGGAACCCGGGGTCCTTAAAAACAAAGATGGCGGATAATGTCGAAGGAGTGGAAGAGCTCAGAAGACTGACGGTTGAAAGGATTGATCATGTTTATTCTACTTTAATGAATAATGCCGTAGATATAAACGACGTTCTCGAAGACGTAGAACAAATTTTCGAAGCCCTTTATGTCATAGATTCCGTGGTAGGACTGTCAGAAGATATTTTTCGTGACATTTTATCTGCAAAAGGAATACTAGAAAACATTTCAAGGTCTAGAACCACAAGAATCTTCAGCGGGGCGCCTGGACGGCCATCATACGAT